CCAAAGTGTCGGGTTTCGACCGACTTGGCAGGTGACCAGTGCATCTACGCGATGTTCCTCGGGAACAAGGAGCGAATGTGATCAGACGTTCTCTCGTGCGCGCATGGCACTGATCAGGGGGTTTCTCAAAACCTCTAGGGAATCCCAAAGGATGCCAACCTGCAGGGAACCTTTGATACTCTCTGGGTGCCTCTGACAGGGACATGGAATTAGCTGTTTTTTGTTTAGGAGATATATATATATATATATATATATTTATGGGCAGGTTGTTTTTGGGGACCGAATCCTATTCGTACTGAGCTGGGTAAAGTGTGTGGCGTATATGGGTGTTGACAAGGTTCCTGTAAGCGGCTTTCATTTGTACCCATTTGTGTTTGCTTTCCTCGGCGAATGATCTCTTTCGCAATCTAGTCGCGTTGCTTTCTCCGCAAACGACATGTGAACATCTGCTTTTCGAAGTTGACATGAGAATGCAGAGCCCGGCCCGTCTTTGCATGTTGCCGTGAAGCAAACAGTGGTCGCCAATGTGGACGTGTTTCTTGGTTTGACCCCTCTTTTCCCTTGGCGGTTTCGTGCTCTTCGGCAGCTCACCGCCGTGAATTGCGCGCTAAGAATGACTTGATTTGTTTGTATTTTATGCATATGGTAGACTCTTCTTCCCCCGAAGACGAAAGATTTTGGCTGCCCAAACTTCCCAGAGTTGTGTTTGGGGGAGATGGAACTTGAATCAGCTTTAGACTCAAAGGAACATCTTGCAACTTTTCACATCTGAAATTGAGGTGTGTGGCAGGGCAGGGCGGGCGGGGGGGGCATCCAACCAATTGATGGCCCGGGTTTGGGTGTGACTGTCGGTGATACCGGTCGGACAGTGGACCGATCGTCCCGAATGGGGGCAACATAAATTATTCAGTAGTCTGCGACCGTGACGAAATGTGGTTTCAAAGTGCCCCTATAGCCTCATGTCCACTGATAATGGTCGTGGCTGCCCAGTGCCAATCGGACAGCTTTTACATGAAAAAGGGGTGGGATGCCAAGCATTAGGAAGGGAAGACTTGAGAAGATACACCGCGGCCATCTCGTGATGCTGCGCCAACCTCAGCAGGCAGTGGACATGGCGCCGCAATGGCCAGGGACGAATCTATGTCGCAGGTGCGCACCAGACAAAAGCAAAGGCAACCACGGCCTCTTTCAAACGGTCGTGGCTGCCCGGACACTTTGAACAGAAAGTTCAACGTCTTGTGAAACTGAGTTCCCATTTCTGCATCTGGCCAGTTGCGGTTAGAAGCCCAGCAACCGCATAATGGGCCGTGACCTGTTTGCCATAGTGCATTGTGAAAAATAATGGCAATGCGATTGCAAATGGTCCTAGGGTAAGGACTGTCGAGGCACCGGACCAGGAAACAATCAACGTGGCAAGTGAGCACCTTAGTGCGCTTGCGCCACGGCATGTTGTCTTGACAAAGGTCCATGGTGTGAGGATGCACATGAAGGCAACTCAACAGTCGGGACACCGCGCGGGAACCAGCCAAAAAGACTCGTGGCAGGATTCGCAGCTGGAATGTGCGATCGATGGCAGAGGCTAAACACAAGTATGGAGAACCTTGCAAGATTATTGCCTATCCGAATCTCAGCCTAATCTTGGGGGCTCTCTCAGATCTGATGGGCGGCGGTCTCTGTCCACCATTGTTGCAAGCACGAGACCATGAACTGCCAGGGAACCTATCCAAATTCCCGCAACTTTGTCAAGCTGAATGAGCAAAAGCAGGAAGTGCTGCAAAGCCCTTTTGACAAGTCATGGAGAGGATGCAACTTGGTGTCAACTTCAACTACTGTGAAGCGACCATGCGCACGTCGGCGAAGAGACTTGCTCAACGTGCCAGCGCCGGAGAAAAGGGTGCTTTGAGCATCCAACGCAGCGGACCATGATACTTGGCAGCTGCTTTTCGGAATTGAGGGCCACCGATTGCTCCTCTCTGGTCAGCTCTCCATAAACACATGGCTGACGCGGCCCCCCTGCTCGTAGCGGCGCAGGCTGCTCAGACACTTCCACCAGCTGGCGAACTTGATGCACATGCTGGATACCATACTTTCGATAAAAACTTGGTCTCCAGAGTTGTGGCGTGACTTCAAGTGCTTCAGGACGCTGCCGAACCATTGGAGGTATGGGTGGTCTGCTATGACTGCTTCATCCAGGTCGTGCGTTTTTGAAGGCTGGGGTTTTTACTGGGGAGCTTGCTGACAACCGTATTGACCAAAACTTGCTCAACTGGTTCGGGGCAACCAGTTGCCTGTATGGAGCTTCAGAGATTCCCGGGCCTGCAACACACTGCCCATGTCAGCACGAGCTACACCCCCACCATGGGATCCTTCAAGCGTCCCAGGATGTGGCAAATCAACCGCGCCAACATCGGAAATGGGCTTGGGACGCGCGCCAGCAAACAAACCAGCGTGGCGTATGGCAGCTACCATCGTCATGGCTCCAGCCACCCCCCCTCGAAGTACATTTCGTCCATCCACCATGCAGCTGCTGCGTCGACCTGCTCCAAAGTGGCGATGGGGTACTTTCGCAACTTGGCAAAAGCCAGCAACTTCGCCCAAGCCGTCTCGTATGATGTCAAGCGACCGCTGGTGATGGTCCTTTCTTCCAAGAAGGTCCGAGTCTGCATGTCTTTTGGGGAGGTGGCTTGGGAGCTGTGTGGCGAGCCGCCGCAGCACTGCCCTGTTCTGCTTCTAACTTTGGCTGTGCGTGTCGCTGAGCGCATCTTCCCAGCGGCTTGCCCGGCTGACAGAGCTGGTAGAATGCTGCCGCTCGCTGTCGCCATGAGCTGCGAGACCTGCGTTCCGCTTCAGCATTGATTAGCTCTTCAATGCCACTATCAGCGCCATACTTACCCAGAACGGGGGGGCTTATCCGCCGGGTTAAGTTCAGAAGGGCAGCAACAGTAGCACAAGTGCAGATCACAGGCTAGGGCCAAAGCGGCAATTTGGCAGCTGGGAGATGAGCTCACAAGTGGCCAGCCTGAATTTCCAGAGGCGACGAGGCGTCACGGTCACCTGAACAGGTGAACTGCTAAAATGCCACCCCGATGTCTCACCTCCGACTGCTTCTTCGACTTCATGTGTTGGAAGGCCACGTGCGTTCAAAGCGGATTCTACTTGGCGGGCTGGCTTGCCAGCTAAACCTGTTTTTTGCGATATGGCAATGAAGTTATCGACGTACTCAGTGCGCAAGAAAGGTCTGGGAGCAGGAATGGGGGCCCCATCATGAAACCGGAGAGTTCGGGGGGATTGACGGGATGGAATCAACCACATGCTCATGGCAAAGTTGGCATAGCCAGAGCGCGTGGCTCCACCCCATTTATACAACCCTGAACACTGGGTACACGACCTGATGCTTCTGCACGGGCTGCCCCTCAACTTCGGCAATGCCGGCCTGCCCCGCTGTCAATGGAGCAAGACCAAACAAGTCTCGAAGCTCGGAAGGAAGTTCAATCCCGTAAAACGCATCGGCTATGTCCACCCCTCCAAGCTCGACTGGCTGTGCGGGATCCACTTCAATTTGCGCAAATGAGGAACCTGTGGCGAGCTTAACTTGCTCCGGGCAACCAAACCAACAGTTGGACCGCCGTGCGTCGACCACCAGCCGTCGTCGCCCGGACTTCTTCCACACAGTGAACACCCCCGCCTACTCACGAACACAGAGGCGGAGGTCCACCAGGTGCGAAGCGTGAAGACGCTTGATGAAGTGCTGGTACTCAACACCCTTTTGCGGAGACCAAGGTCATAGTAGGGTTTCTTAAGTCCACTTTCCTTTAGCTTGGCACCCGCATCCCCAAAAGTTAAAAGCTTACTGCGCAAAACTTCCAAAGCATTCTCAGCCTCGCTCCCACCCTGAATGGCTTCCAAAGAGGAGGGAGGAGGCAACGACACTAAGTCCTTGGAGGCTTCCCAAGCCGCAAAACCGACTTGCGAGCCCGATTCAAGCACATACGCTGTGCCAAGGTCGGCTTCTGAGCCGGAGCAAAAACAGCCATGAATTCCTCACCGTGGCACATGCTATTCAGTGAATGCACAATGTCACCCACCCAATTGTCGACCCGCTCCCGGCATTTCATACGCCGAGAGCAAGCTCTGGAACTCGTTCTTCACGAGCCTTGCGAACTTTCTTCATGACGGATGCATCCTTTTCGATCTCCTTTGACACATACTCAGGCAATTCCGGGGCGATCGACATCTCCATATTCACGATGGGTTCCTGTGAAAACTGCAGCCTCTGCACGGTACGACAGGTCATCGTTCTTCTTGCTTGCCTCCTTTTCCGCCCGCCTTTCCACCGCCTGGGCCCTTCTCTGACCAGAAATACTCGATCAGTTGAAGGCGCCTGAAAAGAAGCTTGACTCCAGCAATGTTTGCCAAATCCAGCCCGTCAAACCGCCCCGACCTATCCACAATCTTCATCTGGTGCAGCGCGGCACCCTCTGGCAACCGCCGCATCCTGTAGGTGTTGCCTTCATCCAGTCCATGTGGGAGCCCCACTCCTGATGCCACACGGAACCCAGCGAGATCTCCGTTCTCTGAGGAGGTCAACTCTGGATAAACATCTCCATCCGGGGTGAGCACGATGCGCCACCCCCAACCACAGGCGCATGTAGCCAAGATGCATCGCTCATGCCACAAAAGTGGAGGGGGGAGGTCGTAGCACAAGAAGACCCTGGTCCCTTCAAGTAATGACACGGCTATTGTCTACTACCCTGCTGAAGGCGAAGGGCTTGAATCTGCTGCCTGGCCCGGGCTTCTACACTGTCGTCGCCTTGCCCGGACTGACTGTCCAGCAAAGGCTCAGGCTCTGGGCCGTCCACTCTGTGGACCCGCAATCAGCCAAACGGAGATCTTGAGAAACTCCCACCACCAGCCAGTTGAAGGACACGCCGGCGACTCACACTCACACTTGCACTGACACTCAACCCTGGGAGACGAGCCCCGGTCAAGCACAACTGCCCATGCCGCGCCCCCTAGGAAATCCAACCACCTCATGTAAGACTTGAGAAGACACACCGCGGCCATGGGCACTGATATTTCCCCGCTTCATTCGGCGCCAGTTTGTTGAAGTACCCGAGAAAGGTTCTGCGCTTGTTCCCTTGATGTTGCCGGACAGCAGCCATTCACTCTCCTTGCCCTCGCAGCGCGCCCATACCTGCCAACGGTCAAGAAAAAGACGCGGCCAGCTGTGTGCAGTTTGTTCAAAGTTTGAAGGGAGGAATCGGCATTGGGTTAGGCCTTGCTCTGAACGCCTGCAGGACTGGATTGTGCGCTCCCTCACGGGAGAGAATGTCCAACACGGCCTCACCATGCTGACCTACATCAACGAGCAGGGATCTTAGATTGGTCAGGAAAACACCTGACAGCGGGGTCAGACCCACGGATTTCCTCGGCTCTGGGGGTCACTTTTGGCTGGTCGGCCTAAGACGAAGGAACCTTTTTTTTGTGAGACGGGGTGGCCCTTTTTCTCTGGGCAATTTCAGGTATGGGTTCTGGAGGTAGCGAGGTTCTATACCACTAGTTCAGGGTTAACATGCTGCCAAAAACCAGCTTCTATGAGCCTTTCTTTCTTTGAGGCTGCCCCTTCTTGGTTTTTTCTTCATTTGGAACACCAAATGGCCAACATCGCCCTTTTTTCGGGGTCGTTAACTAACCTCTTGATAAAAAGAAGAAAAAGCGGAGACCCCATATGGTGTGGACGACCACCCCCCCATGGAGTACCCGACTGGCTTCTTCCAATCCGATCCGAATTGCGAAATGGAGACAGGGCTTTTCCTTGCGAGGTGCACGGACCTGCGGGGCATCTCCTACTTCGGGGAGGTCACCTATCAAATCGTCTTCCAGGAGGATGGGAATGTGCATGCCCTGGTGGTGGGCCGCTTGGATGTAAGATGATCCAAAATGGATTCATCTCTGGCTCATATTGAATCCGTCCTTTTCTTTTTGTGAGGAGCTTTGATTTGGCAAAGCTTGGGGTTTAGTAGGGGAAAACCCAAATGACACCAAACTTGGAGCTCCGATCAAATCGAGAAACCAACCCAAGCTGAGGCTGGTGTCCATCGATCCTTTGGCACCAGCTGGGGGGCAGTATCTCCACACTTTTGGAAGGTTTTCCCTCCTGAAAGTGGCTCATAAGGCCCAGGCATCGGCATCATTGCTCTTGGCCCTGATGTTGGTTTTATTATTTTGGGTTTTGCAGGGTGGGTGGTTTTTCGGCTTTTTGGCTTCCCAAATTAAATCTCGACCCTTTATTGTTTGTTGCGTTTTGGGGAGTTGTGCTCGTCGTTTGTTGTCTGCACACAAAACCAATCACGACGAGTCAGGCCTGATTCAGACCCAGGCAATTTGCATGAGCCGATTTACATCAACCCACGTACGCGATATTCATATGAAATTGGTCATGACTATGGGCATTGACTTGGGACACCAACTCAAAACAAGAGTTTGGCTGTTTTGCACTTCGGTGTCAACTCTATATCCACTATAGCCATATTTCGTCAACCCCCAAATCCAACATGTTTGAATGTTTTTCGGAGGAGACCTCAAGTGGCTAATGGCTTCCGTGCGGATTCCGTTGAACTCACTCCCTGGGTGGACTTTAGTCACTTTTGGGGCTTGGACCATTTGGCAAGCCAAAAGATGGGACTCTTTTGGCCAATCACTTCTTTTGGCCAATCCACGGAAGTGAGTGAAACTTCCACTTGCTGAAGAAATTTTCTTATTTTCCCCTGTTGGTTTCAAAAGGAATCTATCACTACTGGATTTGTTTTGTTATTTTTGCCCTGGGCATCAGCAAATGGAAGGACATACCCCCCCCAAAGAAAACCGCCGACTCCGAATCCGAAAAAAAATGAATCCGACTCGCCATCTGACCGGCGCGACCCTTCGACTCGCGACGAATTTCGCGACGCTTCGACTTGAGGTCTGATTTTTCTCCGAGTCCTGGAAGGATTTAGCCTCAGCAAGCGTTTGAGCTGGCTGCCCCGAACGCGCCTCGCAGCAAAAAAACATGACGGCTTCGGGCTTCCTTTTTTGCGAATCTGAGCCAAAAAAAAAATCGAGAGAGAAGGTGGTAGGGGGGTCCAAGGGGAAGCAAGAAGCAGAGGTCGTTGGGTCTTTGGGTCTTTGGGTCTTTGGTTTTGACTGTTCATGAAAATGTGTGTCAAAACGGGTCAAGAAACCTGGGCGCGACAACCGCGGAAGTTCTCCAGACGTTTTTGTTTTGAGCCAGCCCTGTTGGTGTGGCTTTTAAAGGGACACCAAAAGGGATCCCGGATTCTGTCTGTTTCATGTTGGTTTTGACGCGGACTTTCCGCTTTGATCTTGGAAGGTTACGGTTGGGTTTTGGCAGACACAAGTGATAGATGGGCGTGCCTTTTTTCAGGGGCCCTCCAAGATGGGTGTTTTTCCATGTGGAACCCCAAAAGGACACCCCCGGATGAACTAGTTTCTCTTTCCCCAACAGCTATGGGGTCTTTGCCCAGATCGGCTCCAGGGTCGTCCGGGGTGGCTCTGAAAACAATTTGAGGAGGATTCTGGGGATACGTTCGGCAACTCTCCGTGCTCATTTACGGCTCAGCTGGTGTGAGCCTTGAGGCGAACCGCGCTCTGGTTGCATCTCTTTGCAAGCTGGGTTTTTGCCCAGCTAGGTCCCCTAGTATTGCCCTTTGACCCGTATTTTGGGTACAATAGATTACAGAAAAAAGGGTAGCCTTATTCCAACCTCTCTACTGGAGGACCTAGCTATTATTCTGGTTGATTCTATCCCGAATGGTTCTTTTGCACGGAACCCAGGATCTTCTTGGCCAAGAACAAGCTCTTCAACTTTGTGCTCGCCTACGTTTGCCTGGTGGCAGGCAGCGTATGAACTCATCGTTTCGTGTGGCCCGTTTGAGTTTGGCTTTTTTGTGGGAAACCACGAGAAATACCAACCCTTTGGGGGTCTCCTAGTTGGCTGTGCCGTTCATTGAAGGGTACCCTTTTTGGTGTGGCTTTCCGCTTTCAAGGGAAAATCGCAGGAAGCAAACCATGAAAGGTGTGCCCTCCGCTTTGAGACACACCAATTTTGGCACACACCCCGCAGGACTTGTTTTGAGAAAGGAATGTTCTGAACAGCCCAAAGGAGCTGATCTTGCAACTTAGGGAGCACTGACCTATGGGAATCGGTGGGGATCTGGCCAGACAACCCATGTTCTGAACTGTTTCATGGAGAGCTCGGGGTGAAGCGAGCTGGATTGCTTGATCGAATTCTGATCGCCTGAATGAATTCGCTAGTGCAGAGTTTCAGCGCTTGTGTTTGGCTTAGGAAGCTTGGAGGAAACCAGTCGCTTCTCGCATTCGGAACATGCCGAGCGGCCGCAGGATTCGCGCTCTTGATGACTCTGTACTTTGGGGACCTTTTCCAACAGCGGCCTGGCAGAGAATAAGGTTGACAACATCAGACGCGTGGCTCTTTTTTCTTTTTTTTTAAGGAGCAGACGCGAGTGGCTGTTGTTGTTTTCTTTCTCCGGAGGGTACCCTTTCCTACATGCTGGTTGCAAAAATAGTGATTGCAAATGGTGCCAGTGCCGCAAATTATGCACATGCATCCACTTAGCGTCTTCCAATGTGCGGATCTATCTTGAGACGCTCAAGTTTGAGTGTTTTCAAGTAAAAGCCGGAGAGCACACCACGAGTCATGCTGTAACTTTCCTGAACTCGTCGCCGTAAAGTTGAAGAGATGTGCACCAGGTACTGCACTTTGGCATCGAGCCTTGCCTGCATTGAAAGAAGCGCCTGAGAGCTGCTTCGCTCATGTTCTCTCCGAGACGTTCGCGACACGTGTGTCTTTGTTTAGGGACCCCCAAACTGGTGGTTGTCCTTTCGGTTTCCCAATGAAATACCACAGACAATGGGTAGATATGGGTAGCGTCCAAGCAAAAACACACACACACACACACACTACCTCGAAAGTCGGCGAAACACCTGGCATGGGTTTGATTCTCGGGTACTACTGTCTAATGCCTGGCCCTGGCCCGGCGTTTCTGAGCCGGAATGCTCGTGCTCGGCGATGAAAGGATGTAAAAGAACGTGGGGGAAATGAAATGAAGAGAAATGAAGAAAACCAAGCACACCAAGTCAAGGGAAACAAAGGGAGATGAAAAAAGCTTTGAAGGGCATGAAGGGACATGGAACGAAGGCAAGCAAAAAGAAATGAAGGGAGAAAGCGGAAAAAGTGGAGACATGAAGGGAAACAAAAGAAACGGAAGGCAACAAAAAGTGAAGCGAGAAATGAAGGGAGACACGAAGGGAGAAATTAATGGAATTGAAGAAGGATGTGAAGCGAACGGAAACAACCTGAAATGAATGGACACGAAGGGAAGTTGAATGAGAATTGAAGGGAAATAGAGTGAAATGAGGGGAAGGGACATCAGAAATGAAGGGACATGAAGATTGGAAATGATGGAAAGTGAAGGGAACTGAAGAGAGATGGCATGAAGGACACGGAGGGAAATGCGAGGGAATGAAGGGACACAAGCAGGAAGTAAAAGGGCATGAAGGGAAATAAACTGGATATAAACGGGGAAAAAGGGAAATGACGGGATATGCAAGGAATGACGGGAAATAAGAGGGAGGGAATGAAGAAAAACAGTGGGGTGAAGGGAGAAATGAAGGGAGAAATGAAGGGAGAGATGAATTGCAAAATGAGGGGAAGGGGAATGAAGAGAAACAACTGGAAATGACAGGAACTGAAGGGAAAGAAGAGGGACATGGCATGAAGGGACATGAAGGGTGAAACAAAGGGGAATGAAGGGAGACATGGACATGAAGGGCAATCAAATGAGAAATGAAGGGGAATGCAGGGAAATGAAGAATCAAGGGAGCACATGAAGGGACATGAAGGAACATGAAGGAGACGGTTCGTGCTCGCAGATCGCAGTTTGGGCCCATGCACAGTTTGCTTCCCCGAAGCTAGAAAACCGGAAAGAAGCGAGCATTGGATTCCTTCAGCTGCCCATGGCTCCGCAAAAAATATCCAGGCGGGCTGAAGGTTCCAACCAAAGTTCCATGCAAAGTTCCAATCGTTCCAAGAGGCACAGCGCCGGGAGGTTCCACGCAAGGGTCTCTTGACGTCCAAGGGCCAGTTCCGATGGCACGAATGCCGACGTTCACGAAAGAAGTTTCAGGGCTCCTTCTGCCAGCTGGTTTCAAGCACTCTGAGCTGGTTTCGGAAGGTTCACTGGTCGCGGAAAACCGCGTTGAGCATTCAACCCCCACATTGTTGCTGCCCCGCTGTACTTGGGGATCCAAGTCTTGTTTCAGGTTTTGGACATATTGTGGAATGGACGAAATCTTGCACCACCTAAGAAACCTCTGAATGATTTCCCAATACCAAGAAACAATGGTTTCCCATAATTTCAAAGTGGTGCGAAATGGATTTCGTCCATCCGCAGTGTGAAAATGTGCAGAATGAACACTTTGTTCCGAGGTCCTGCTACACTCTGTTGCTCTTCAGCTTCGGGCTCTCCGAGCGGGCCATGTACGGCGCAGAGCCCTTCGTGGAGAGGAGCAGCTGCCTGGCCTTCAGTTTGTTGAGACCCACAATGAGATTTTGTTTTTTTTGCAATATTATATATATATATATGGTGCTTTTTCTTTCTTGTTGTTTCTCTGACCTGTTGAGATGTTTCTTTTGTTTTTCTCGACCTGTGACCCACAATGAGATGCGTTCTGTTTTTGTTCGACCTGTGACTACCAATGAGTTGGTTTGTTTTCGATCTGTGACCCACAACGATTCTTTTCCCCGACCTATGACCCACAACGAGTTGTTTTTCTCGAACTGTGTCCCACAACGAGATGTGTTTGTTTGTTTTTGACTTGTGTAGGGTCCTTTTCCGACCTAGTTGAGGGTCAGGTTGTTTTTTCACCTGGTCAAGGGTCTTGTCTTGGACCCATGAAAAACCTAGCACGGGGATTCCTAGCTGGGTGATCAACAGCTGGGCCTAGGCAGGTTTAGTCCACTTTCTATTTTCCAGGGTTGCATTTTAGATTAGATGCCTCATTTTCGAGCCACACCCACCTGACGGTTAAAGCCCTCGATAACAAGACTCCGCAAAAAACAACCAATCATGGATGGGCAACATGTTGCCTTTCCTACACATGTTGGGATGCAGCACCTAGTGCCAGATTTTGCCAATCAGCACCGTGCAGACATGTTGTTTGTTCAACAACAAACAGCACATCTCCTTGAATCACCGGCCTCTGCTTTGCAGACCTCAAGCCCGCTGCTGTATGCCGGGTGTGACTCATCACGCAGCCTGCCCCCACGCCTAAATCATCGTTCTGCAGAGCCCCGCCCCCCCAGTTGCAAAGTGTTTACTCTTTGATGGCCCTGTCGATTTTGGCGGGTTAATGCTTGTTTCCACATGTGCAACGAGACCGTGAAGTAGGCACTTGCATGGGCAGCTGATACTGCAAAAGGAGTCACTCGAAGGAAGCAAAGATGCCTCAGGTTACTGAGGCTCGGCAGTTTGACAGCTGAGGCACCCACCTGTTGTTCATGCTTTTCCTCTTTACCGTGTTTGTGGTGACCATCATCCTGACTCTTGGCTCAAATCCAGGTGTCAACTGAAGGACAGTTGGGTGAGCGTAGCAACTGATTAGGTTTTGTCATCCCCTTTACTTAGACACCTACAGAGGAGTAGTGCCATCTACTTTGACCCTGTAAGCTCAAGCCAGCTTGAGTCGTTTTCATGTTTCTTTTGAGATACCTCGTTTCAAACAAACTCGATGTCGAGCAGAGCGAGGAAGGCTGAACTGGGAGAGTCAAGGGAATTTGCAAGCGTGTTCTAGAATGTCAGACATCTACAGTACTGTTGCCCCCATGTCAAACAGCGCCAGTTTGTGAAATTCGGGGGGGGGGGGGGGTGTCCCTGGGATTCGTGGGGAATCATCACTTTTGGTGGGGAACACCCCCAAGTAATCAACTGGAGTTGATTACTATGGGGTCAACATTATGCGGAACACTTCATTCTCCAGTTGCGCGGCTGGGAAGCATTCGTTGCTGGGAAGTTTCGCTGAAGCCTTGGATATGTTGTCCTTGGTATCTTTCCCTCCCTTCTGTTAACATGGGTTTGGGTCTAGATTAAACCACCAGGGGCCGCAGGTGTTAGTCCTTGCTTCCATTTATCAGGGTTCCATTTCGGGTACCTATTTTCGACCCACACCCATGTGCAGCTGTTACAAGGGTTCATTCCCCATCACCCATCGTACCAGCGACTTTCTCAGGGGGGATTTGGGGAATGTATGGTTTAAGAAGACGGATTCATGAAGGGAATGGGCAAGGAAGGCATGGCTGGCTGACGCCAGGGTTGCTAATGCAAATGGCCATGGGCCATGTGCCGCGAGATCTCGCATTTCCAAATGGTCTCCAAAAAACACACACAGAAACAGAAGCAGGCTGAACAGGACACCAAAGAAGCGCAACTCCATGTGTTTAAACCAAGAGGAGCCCTTCTGGGTGGGGTGTTTCCTGTTCTCCCTGGAAAACCCAAACAGGTCTACCTTTTGAGAAACCCACATAGACCCTACAGTAAGTCCCCTTGTGTCAAAACAACAATTAGGTGCAAAGACATGTTTTCTTTAGGGGTACCAGGCCACACCTGAGGAATATGTTCACCACCATCGTTATCGACGCCTTTGCCGCGGAGAGCGATCCCAAGCGTTACCAGGCGGCCTACAAGGCGACGCATGGCCCCGGGCCCCTGCGGGCCCCCAGGGTGGGAGTTGGGAGAACTGAGGGTGTGGGAAGAGAAGCAAAGGTACTGTGAGGGTCCTTTTTGGTTGCTTGAAAAATGGGTTGGGCGATTCCTGGTTTACCTGGTGGTTCAATCAACTACCAGGGCCATCTATTTTCAACGGTACTCTGGGTGGACAAAATCCATTTCGCACCACTTGGAAATCATGGTTGAAACCGTAAGGTTTGTTGGCATTTACAAGGGAATCATCAGAAACCAAGGTTTCTTAGGTGCGAACGGATTTCGCTCATCCACAGTATGTGTGTGTGTGTGTGTTTCAAGTTGGCGCCCGTTTTTTTGGGGGTGCTTGAAAGGGGAAGCCGATAAGAGACATCCATGTTTGAAGCCATGCCAAGTTGTCCCATAAGGAGTGTGCTCGGCGTTCCGATGGTTTAGATGATTATCGCTTCTCGCGGAGAAGCAAGCATCATTTGTCCAGTTGGATCATTCCAGTGACGAGCGCAGTGCCAGCAAGAGCCACATGCAAAAGGTCAGCGCACTTTTTTCTGCGAAGGCAAAAGCCCAGGAGAAATGAGAGGGCGCCATTTCTTGGAGGGCCGGGAAGTCCTGAGCTCCTTTAAAAAAAGCATCCGCATGGCTCGTTCAGATGCTTTTAGTTGCTCAAGTCCTTAGGTTTTGACGATGTCAACCTCAAATGCCCTGTTTGACCAAACACCTCATGTGGATGCCTCTCGAAAGACGAGGGGAGCCTCCAAACTGGCGCGAGGATGGTCTTTTTTGGTTTCCTTTTAACACCAGGCAAAAGCGCACCCAGCAAGAAAAGGCGCCGCCCACACTCATGTCAACCGCCCTAGGTCCCACGTCTGGCTGCATTCCCTTTGTGTTTTGTTTACATCGCCTTTTAAGGCCCCTCTCTCTCGGGCAGTTTGCTTTTTTCAAGGGAACCTTCAGGAAAAGAAGTTTTTGGAGGGCTATTTTTTGAATTGTCCCCGTCTTTCTTTGGGATTTTTGCTGGATTTTACCTTATCTGGCTTCTTAGCTTCTTGGCTTTTTGGCCTTTGGCTTCTTGGAGTCTGGGCCTTTTTGGCTTCTGGCTTTTTGGCTTGTGGCTGTTAGCTTTTACTTTTTTGTGGCTTCAGCTTTCCGCATCCTCAGCATCGCCAGTAACACCCCAGCATCACCGTCTTTTGGCCTTTTGGATTTTTGGTTGGTGGCTTCTTGCTTGCCAGGATTCTGTAGATGGGGGGGCTGCCCCCCCCAACCCCCCCGCTTTATAGGGCTGTTGTTTGGCTTTGTGATGACCTCAAGAGGCAAGCAACAAAAATCCTGAACAAACTCCAATGAACCCAACGCCCACCCTAACTCACGTTTTGGCCCCAAAACCACCCCAAACCAACCCTAAACGAACACTAGACCCACCCTAAACCGGCACTTAAAGATTTAGCCTTCAAACCAAACCGCCAACCCAAAAGAAACCTTAAAGAAGCCTTAAAGAAACCTTAAACCAGCAAGACTCCCCAAAGAAACTTCTAAACAAACCCACTCTAAACGAGTAATAGACTATCCCGAAACCAACTCTAAAACCTACCCTGAACCAACCCTAAGCCCCCAACCACCCTAAGCCAATCTTTAATAAACAAGCCTTAAACCCCCTACCCCACCAAACAAACCAAACCAACAGTAAACCATCCCTAAGCCACCTTGAACCTACCCCAAACCACCCTAAGCCCATCTAAACACAACCACAGCCTAAACCAACTCCAAACCCACCCTAAACCAGCCCCCAAAACCCACCCTAAACCAACCCCAAGAAGCCCACCATTTCCCAGCACTGTTCCATCCCTGAAGCGCAGCCACCTCCAAACTTTCCCTTGACAAGCCTGGAACCCACCCGGAACCAACCCTAGCCAACCTTGAACCCACCCTAAACTCAGCCTAACAAAGCCAATGCTGAGGATGTTGAAAAGGATGCTGCCGAGTTGAAACGATGCCGGGGATGTTGGCAGCGCGGATGCAAAACGAGTCAAACCAAGCAGAACCAAGGGAAGGGAGATCGCACCTGACAGTTTCAAGCCAGAAAATCCAGGAACAAATCCCAAAACAAAACAGGGAAAAAATCCCAGAACAAATAGACCCAAAGTTTGTTTTCAGTGGGGTGTCCCTACTCTGGAGCCAAGCGTCTTCGCGCCCTTTTCGGATCTCGCAGGAGGAAATCACGACGCTGACCAACCATTTGCTGACCATCTTCGGCAAAGGCAACTCAGCGAGCACCGGATGGGCAACCGCTTGAGCCCAAAACCAGAGCCTGATGAGCGAAAACAGGAATTTGGGACTCCGGACATCATGGTTTTCCTCTTAGCTGTATGTTGGAACCAACCTGAAACACACACACACACACACAAACACCCCAGACAGACACACAGACAGACAGACACAGACAGGCAGGCAGGCACGCAGGCACGCATGCACGCACGTACGCAGGCATGCAGGCACGCATGCACGCACGCACACACGCACGCGCGCATGCGCGCACACGCGCACATGCACGCATGCACACGCACGCACGCACGGACGCACGCACGCCTGCACGCACGCACGCCTTCACACGCGCACGCTTACACGCACACGCTCACACGCACGCACGCGCAGACACAAACAAAGACAAACAGTCAATCACACACAAACAAACTCACGCAAACAATCAATCACACACAAGCAAACTCACACAAACAAACAAGCACACACACACACACACACACAAACAAACAAACAAACAAACAAACAAACAAACAAACAAACAAACAAACGAACAAACAAACAAACAAACAAACAAACAAACAAGCAAGCAAGCAAGCAAGCAAGCAAGCAAGCAAACAAGCAAACAAACAATCATACATGCAAACAAAGAAACCAAGAAACAAAGAAACAAAGAAACAAAGAAACAAAGAAACAAACAGCAAAACAAAGAAACAAAGAAACAATGAACCAAATAAACAAAGAAACAAAGAAACAAAGAAACAAAGCAACAAAGCAACAAAGAAAGAAAGATGCAAATGAAGAAATAAAGAAAGAAAGAAAGAAAGAAAGAAAGAAACAAAGAAACAAAGAAGCAAAGAAGCAAAGAAAGAAAGAAGCAAATGAAGAAAGAAAGAAAGAAAGAAAGAAAGAAAGAAGGAAAGAAACAAAGAAACAAAGAAGCAAAGAAAGAAAGAAGCAAATGAAGAAAGAAAGAAAGAAAGAAACAAAGAAACAAAGAAACAAAGAAGCAAAGAAAGAAAGAAAGAAAGAAAGAAAGAAAGAAAGAAAGCAAGCAAGCAAGCAAGCAAGCAGCAAGCAAGCAAGAGAGGAAGCAAACAAACAAACAAGCAAGCAAGCAAGCAAACAAGCACACAAGCAAAGAAACAAGCAAAAAAAAACAACAAAACAAAAAACGAACAAACAAACAAGAGCAACCAACCAACCAACCAAACAAACAAACAAACAAACAAACACACACACACACACACTCACACCCACACGCGCACGCACACGCGCACGAGCACGCGCACGCGCACGCGCACGCACACGCGCACGCGCACGCACACGCACACGCACACGCACCCACCCACCCACCCACACACACACACCCACGCGCACGCTCACGCGCACGCGGACGCGCACGCGCACGCGGACGCGCACGCACGCGTGCACGCGCACGTGCACGCGCACGCGCACGCGCACGCGCACGCGTACGCGCACGCACACGCGCACGCACACGCACACACACACACACATACACAAACAATCATGCGCGGCTTGCAATGTGGGCGCGAGATGCAGTCAGGTGACCTCGTGTCAAAGAGGAAGAGTCTTCGGTCAACAAGGCATGTACCGGCTTTGCCGAGCGAGGGTGAGGCAGGATGGAGACAGGGAATGGGAACGCCGTGGAGTCGCCCACTTCATGTCCTGGTGCTCTGGGATCTTTTGATCAGCTTCAGCAATGGCAGATAGAGGGCGTGAATGATTTGTATTCCCTCGCCCCGATCGGCTGGTCCCACCAATGGAAGCCAACAAGTTGGGGCCAATCCAGACCGCTTCAAATTGGGCCCCTGACCATGTTGAAGGCCCAACAGCACCAACAAAACGCGCCTTCAACAAAAACACCTCAGGGTGGACCCCTGCAAGCCTGAGACCCAAAGGCGCCTTGGGCTCCCGAAAAAGTCACGATGTTTTCGACCCCAATTCCTGGAAGCACGCGTTCGGGCTTTTGTGTCGCCAGCTTTGTGTCAAGGGCCGCGTGCGGTCAGAGAGCTGATTTCAAAATTGGGGCAACAGAAGCAGATGTCGTGCGACCGAGAAGCCTCATGAGGCTTCAGGTTTGGCATGCAGAGCTGAGAGGTAGGAGTGCAACATATCTTTAATTCATATGGCCGCGAAGTCTAGTGAGGTCTGAACCTAAAATGACGTCCACCAAAGGCAGATCAAAGTTCATACAAGCCCACTGACATACACACACACACACGAATACATCTTGTTTTACTTTATACATATATATACAAATATATTACACCCGTTTTAGAGAAACGGGAGTTTCATAGATCCGTAGATTTACCGTTTCCCCGTGGCGTTCCTCGGCCTGCGGCTCTCCTTGCAGGCCCGGTCTCGGGCGAGCGACGCCAGCGACGCCAGCGACGCCGGCGACGCCGGCGACGCCGTGCCGGAGCAATGAGCGCGATAGAGGAAACTGGCCCCGTCAAAGGCTGAATGTACTGCGGTAGACTTAGGATACATTTTACATGTTACCAGTGACTCAAAGTGAAGCAACCATAAAATATACATTCTATAACTGGGCCGAACTCTAATCATGTGTATGCGGCCACATATGGCTTTGAATTTTAATGGGGAACCGGGAACCCCCTGAAAAGTGGTTGGTGGACATAAATCCCCACCTAAATGGTGTCCACCAAAGGTTCCCTAATTAAGAATTATGCCATGTTAGGCCTGAAACCACTGGTATGAACCCCTAGTTGTTTATGTTTTTGTCTTAACGGTTTATGATTTTCCAAAGGGTCCAACATGTGCAGTTCGTATATGAGCTAATCAGACTTTGAGCCTCAGGCCTTTGTTCCAGGTTTTGGTTTGAGATCGTCATTTGGCAAAAGACAGCCTGAGCAAAAGTCGGCAGTATTTTGAGCCTGTAAATCTGAAGGCTTGACTATAGAAGGCTATGTGACGATATGTGTCAAATGGGGGAACCACCCCCTTTTGGTGACACACCCATTGCGGTTCGGTCAGTGTTTTGTCCAGTCTATGGCTCATTTGGAAGGGGGGACGAGCTGTACTTTACCCGCAGCTTACCCTCTGATTCAGAGCCCGGAAGGCTCCCCTTGCATGGCATTGGGTCCATCGCAAACGTTTTCGACCCAATGCCGAAGGGTTTCTCCCGGCCAAAGCTGGGTCAAGAGCCGCATCTTGACCACTAGCCGGGGGATTTCTGTCACATGCCGAGGACTTAGGGGTGCCAGTGGTGTTGAAGAAGGCTGCTTGCAATACTGCAGGCGCAGAAAGAAACCTGGCAGATTCCATGTCGCTGCAAAAGCGGACGGCAGAGCAAAGTTTAGAGAGCTGGACATTGGGGCGACTCAAACAAACACTGGGAAGCGAACCGACCAGCGTTGAACCCAACAAACGGAGAGGTGCACTGGATGGAAGTTGGTTCATCAGATTTGTGTTTGTTCTCAGCAGGCCTCAGCAGCAATGCTGTTTGTCAAGCAGCCTGAAAAAGGTGGTGTGGGTTGGCGGGAATTTGAGCCCCTCCCTGGTTCTTGAGGGTAAATGGGAACCCAAACCTCCAAACCAGAAACAATTCCAATCCAGCAACCAGAGGGGAGCTGAGTTTGTTCAGACAGCTTCCGCGGGATCTGTCTTTCGATTGGATTTGACACCATTTCCATCTGAAGCTCCCGCTGGAGACTGGTTTCCAAAGGGCCGATTCGCCAACATGTTCATATTGGGGGCATTTGTGATGAACACCAGAGGAGGTTCTTTTGAAAAGCTTTCATGTTGGGCAGCCTTTCATCCAGCACAGGGGGGTCCACTGAGCTTCTGGGCTGAAGTTTCGCCTTCTTTTGGCCCGGGTCACGAAAACATGGGGGGGGGGGTTCTCTCCTCTGAATTGGTGGACCAAAGGGGTTCCAACTCCGAGCCCTCGCATCGAGGTTTCTGCGTTCTCGACCGTACTGTGGGTGGACAAAATCCTGCACCACCTCAGAACCATGGAATGATGATTCCCCTGGAAATACCAAACAAACGGTGGTTGACCATGATTTTTGTGGTTTCCCATGGTTTCTCAGGTGTTGCAGGATTTTGTCCATCCACTGTAGGTCTCCCAAAAGAAAGACCTGACGCTCGCCTTCCCCGCGAAAACGAATCGCTCGCTCTCCCGAAGCGACGAAGCGACTGCAGTCGACGGATATGCGCTACTGGGTGAAGAAGTTCTACCAAGATGCGTCTGGCTGGAACGATGCCATTGGCGAGCGCCCCAAGCTTTGTGTTGAGAGGCGGTTTTGCCGATCTGCAACTCGCCTAGTATTACAGGCGGTGTGTATAGGTAGCCAAGGGGTCACCCTCGGTGGATGACTCCATTGTGTCTAAGGGTTTCACACCGAGGAGAGGTTTTTCACCGGGTTCCGCTTCTTTTCTGAGCAGGTCTAACCGTTCAGGTGTCCAAAAGGTCGAACGGGGGCTAGGTGGACACCATGACGAAAGCTCTGGATCGGTTTGAAAGGGACACCAAAGGGAAACCAAAGGGAAATTACCATTTTGCGATTTTGGAGGTTCCCTCAACAAAAGGACGCCCAGGTAGGGAGCCCTGGATCTTGGCCCCTATGGCCTTCGGTTCGCCACAAACTGACATGGAACTCATCAAAGGGGGGGGTTGTCCCAAAAGGAAGTTCATTCTTCTACATGGCTTCGTGTTGCATGTGCAACCCCGGCAACCCCGGCAGCCCCAGTGCTAAACTAGAATGAGGCCAAATTTAAGCAAAGACCTCGCCCTCAATCTTGGGCCGAGGAAGGGGAACTCATGGGCCCTACAGGGGATGTTTAGAAAAAGGAAAGCCAAAAGGAAAACCCAGCCTTTGTGGGGGCCCAACCTTACTTTGGTGCATGTTGCTTGGATGTTAGGACTTTACCGTTTAGCCAACTGATTGGTTTTCCATTAAACCACTAAAAGTTAAACTTCTAGCAGGGGAGCAGAAAGCAACCAAGCTAAAGAAAACACCCAAAAGGGAACATTGAGCTGGACCTTCACAACCCGTGCAACCTTCCGAGGGGAGTATCAGCGCCAGCAGCAGCTGGCTGGGGCCGCAGCAGCCGCCACCAGCAAGCTCCCGGAGGCGCAAGGAGGTGGTCGAATGACTTGGTGGCTACCAGCCATCCGGTTCCTCAACTTTTTGGCCTTCTAGTGCTTAGTGGCAGTTTCCATTTAACCCACTAAAAGTTAAACTTTAGCGGGGGAACTGAGGGCAACCAAGGTTTGTTTGGCTTTTGAAGAGCCAGGAGAACCATTTGGCTTTCTGGGTTCAAAACCAATGGGGTACCATTTTGAGGGATTGGTGCACCACCCATTTTAGAACCTATTTTAGTGGGGATTGGGATGTTCACTGGGGGTACAGGGTTTTGACCCATGGCCGATAATCAGGAGTCCCCCAATTGGCTGATGGTGATGGGCCGACCCCTTTCAAAAAAACCTGGACCCTCAAACTACGCTTAAAAAAAGAGGAATTACCCCAACATTGAAAGGTGTTTTCGAATTGAGGGTAGTTTGAGGGTCCAGGTGCACAATGAGAGTTCCAATCTGCAGATATTACTTTCATGGACCCGAACTGTTTGGGCCCAGCGACTTTCAGTCGAGCGCCTCGCATGAGAAACTCCGATCGGCAGGGTAGACATCTGGTTTGGATTTGGATTTGAACCTGTCCTTGGGTAGATGGGAACCTGAAGCATTTAAGTTTGGCCCTCTATTTTGACACAGCCGAATAGGTTTGACACTGCAAGCCTTCCCTACCGGCAAGGGACCTCTTTGGAAGATGTTTTGCGGCAGAGACGCCAGACCTTCGCGGAGTCACAGCTGTCATCAAATGGCTGTGGGTCAAAACCAATGGGATCCCATTTTGGGGTAGGTGCACCACCCATTTTGGTCTATTTTAGTTGGGATTGGGATGTTCACCAGGGGTACAGGGTTTTGACCTACAGCCAAATGGCGCCAAGATGAACTCTATCAGGCGTCAGTGTTTCTGGAACCAACCAGTTGAGATCTGTTTTTTTTCCTTGCAACGTTTGGTTTCCTCTTTTGGAGGTTCCAAAAAGGGGCATGGCTCGGAAACCCTGTATTTGAGCAGCTGATTCATCATTGGCAGCCACGCTATGGAAGCAATTTTTGCTAGCACTTATTTCAAAGGGCGTGTTGTATCTCTTAACCGCTGAATCGATCATTCACCCAAACACCCAGTGGCGCACTGTTTTCTTTCTTGTTTTGGGAGAGGACTTCCCTTTGAACGCCAACTGCCACAAAAGGTCCTAAACCCACAAACGACGCATAGACCTGGATTTTCGCTCAGCAAATGAGGCGTTGCTCCCTTTTTTAAAGGATAGTTTGGGGGTTGAGGGTGCCCTTTGTCCCATGGCCGCTGGCTGGGATCATTGACAGAAATTCCATTTATGGTTCCATTTTCCCTTTTATGGGGAAGCCCGGACACACGGAATTGGGGACCCCCCACCCCCCTCCTGCTTATGGCAGGGGGGATTTTGGGCCCATGTCAAAGGAACACAGAATGGAAAGCACCAGTTTGGGGATCTGGACCCCCCCAACCCCCCTCCCGCTTATGGCAGGGGGGGATATTGACACCTTTTTTCAGGCGAACTCTTGATATTTCTAGGGGTTGATTCGCCATTCTTTTTAACCATCGTTCTTCTCAACAACTGGCTGTTTCCCCTGGGTTTTTGATGGTTTCCTGAAAAGATTCGGATCCCTGGGTTCAGAATGGAAATGGAAGCTACCCCTAGAAAATACTCTTCCCGGCAGGCCCGGCCTCTGCCGCCCTTGCCGTGATGGCATCCGGGTGCGGATGCGCACCAAAAACGAACGCCTTCATGCCGCCGGAAGGATCGAACAAGAGTCGTCGACACTTCAGGTGCTTGGTTTCTACTCCCTGGGGTAGACTTAGGATACATTTTGCAGTTTATCAGTGACTCAAATTGAAGCAAACGATAAAATATACATTCCACAACTGGGCCATCATGGTCCCTGCATTCAGTGCAGTGAAATAGCCCGTGAGAGTTTTGACACTTGCTGCAAGACACTTGCCTCGCACTTCTTGCTTTTAGAACCCCAGCCTACTCATTCTTACGTGCCATAGTCGCGGTGTTTCATCCTGTACGTGACAAGTGTTTGCCTAGTGTATGCCTTTGACCCAGAATTCCTCGGGAAAAGAGTGATCCTATGTTTGGATCAGCACATTGGCAAGATGCAAGACATGTCTCCGGGTTGCCGTGCACGTAGCGAAGCACGCCTGTGAACCGTGGGAACTTGTTCAACAGGACAGTCTTTGCGCGGAAGAAGTGGGTTGAGAGGAAGCTGTCTGATTGTTTTGCTTCTAGGGTGTTTGCCTTTTCCACGTGAAACGCCGAACCTTGTAGAACTGTTGAGTTGCGAGGCTTTAAACCAAAACCAACCAACCCATAGAGGGGTCCCATGATTTTACGTACTCCGCGAATTCTGCGTTTGTTTGCTGGTCTTACGCCTGCAAATCTAGGAGTCATTGGAGATGGAGCAAATAAGCCATGAACAATGCTTGGGACTTGTATTTATGAGCCGAGCAACCGATTTGGCCATGTGTTTTCCGAGACTGATCCAATTCTCAGGCCTTGCAGCTGTCTCGGTTTCGGAATAGAATTGCATTGAGCTTAGGTGCAGGGTTCCCAAGCTCCTTATTCCCTCCGGTGGATCTGCGGCCACGCGCCTTGAAAGGCAAGACAAGCCGTAATTCCTATTGGCCAGCGTATGTGGTTCCGCCTTTCGCGAGGTTCCAGTAACTTTCCAGGGCCAGGGCCTAAGCCTTGACCATGTAGAACCAAGAGTCAAAGGATTTATATACCAGGTCCCCCAGTAGTGCCAACTTTTACCGTCTCTTTTTTGGTTGGGAGGGTTCCCCTACTAAAATAGACTACAGAAAATAGGGCACCCTTATTCTAACCTCTCTACAGGAGGACCTAGTATAGAGCGAGGCTCAATTTCCCGTTTGACAGCGTTGAGCGCATGGGAAATGCTGCCATTGGCGTGGAAGCAGCCTTGACGAGGCGGGTTCAGAGAGAAAGACTCTCCCCCCTTTTTTTAGCGCCCAAGATGCCCATGGGCAACTTTAGAGTAATTAGGCGGTACTACCTGTGTCAACTAGACTTTCGTAAAAGCATCAGAGAGAACCAAACATGGGTATGGGTCAAAATGAAGCCACGGGACCACAGGTTTTAGTCCTTATTTCCAGTTCTCAGGGTTCCATTTTAGGTACCTATTTTTGACCCAGACCCAACTGAAGGTTGGTTGATCTCCCCTTCATTTCTCTTCGGAAGCAATCCCTGACATTGAGGCCCCAGCTCACCAATGGCTCTGGAAACTTGCTGGTTGGATACGCAGGGAATAAGACATGGAATGCCCCATAAAAACACTGCCCGATTTGGTGACCTTTAAGCTAAACCCCGAATGGTTCGGTCCCAAAACCCGGACTCGGTCATTCTACTGAGCACCAGCAAGTAAAGTCAGCGTAGGGGGTGACTTTGACAATTGTAAACTCATGGGGCCAATTGAAAAAAAAAAGCACCAGCCGTTCTCGAACCCCCTCTGAGACACACCCAAGCTGACATTGCAGCTTGATTCGAGCCCGATTTTTGCCACCCTTGGATCACACGTGTTGGCTGCCGCAGGTTTGGAATTTATTTCAAGGCTCTCCGTGTCCGGCAGTATTGGACAGGGTTTCCCGGCCATTTTCCTTTCTGGAACCTCCCAAAGTGGCGATCCTTTCAAGGGAAGCCGACAGAAGCAGAAGGATCTCAGCTTTTGCGACTGGACTGCTGAGCTTTTGGCAGTCTGACACGTGACGCTCGCATTTCTCCGCAACTCCGCAACTCTCAGAGTAAGGTTTGGCAGCTTCGCCTGCCGCATGGATGCTGCTGCCGTTGGGATCACCTTTATGACTTGGATTCCAAATGGTGGCTCGTCTTTTTGAAGGTTGGACACCCCAAGTTGCTTCGGCTTTCCTGGTGGTGTGGGTTTAAAAACCATCCCACAAAGAGTGTCCTCAAACAAGACAAAGCCAAATGACGTTTTTCACTAGCCAGGATTGTTCAAAGCGTCTGTGCCATTTGTTGAAAATGTGGCGGTCTCGCTGCTCAAGAGTCTGCATATCAAGCGCAGCTGCAAAGCCAAGGCAAATTTTAAGTCAGTTGAGGGGGGCGGTTTTATCCTTGGTGACTGCGCTTTGAATGTTCGTTACCCTTGACTTTCGTGGCCTTAGAACTTGGAAACGAAGTCGAGACAAGTGTTAGTTCAGATGTCAAAGAATATTTGTTTACACTCTGTTCATCTCTTTTCAGTCTTTAACACGGAACACATCTTCATTTTCACATGAAACGGAGGTTTAGTGCATTAGTGAACACTCCTTTTCAGTCGCTACTAGAAGGACCTCTGGCGGGGTTTTTTGGTCCGCAGGCCTGCAGATGGCCTGGAGGCTCTCGAAGCATCGCTTTATCGCGATGCCACCGGCTTTGATTTGGGAGGGTGCCCTAGGTTGGTTTCAAGAGAAACATCCCCACCCCCTTAAAAACTGGGGGAGGGGGGTGACCCCTGGAAATCCGTTTCCGGTTCCATTTGCCCTTCTACTGGGAAGACTAGATACATGGAATTGGGGGCACCCCCCCCCCCTATAGCAGGGGGGATAGAGAAACCAAAAAAAGGAACACCACGCCCTATGTTTAGGCACAGCAGTATGGCACATACTCAGGTGTTGAGAGTTCATGGACTTTCGTTTTTTTGGGGTTGGGCCATAGTAGCATACAAAAAGTCTGGTTTGTCCATAGTGCAGGCAGGGGATATGTGTTCGCAATTGTCGGCATACCTGATTGGCCATGATCATCAAAACTTCAGATCCTAGGCACAAATTCTCCGGACTTTAGTTTCGGCAACCATCACTGGCCACAAAAATAGCGAACCATGGTTGATGGGAGCATTCCTTACAGTCAGAACGTCGCACCTTGGAAGCCTCCTTTGTTGCATTTTGCTTGGATGTTAGGACTTTAACTTTTTGTCAACTAATGGGTTTTCCGTTAAACCGCTAAAAGTTAAACTTTTAGCAGGGGAGCAGAAAGACCGAGAAGTGGCCACTTTGCTTTCCCGCCAGATCTGAGCGCAGCCGCCATCCGTCAGAGGAGTCTCACGCACAGCTGCCAGGACTCCCCCCAGACGCGCGAGCGAGCCCGACAAGACAGCGCTTGCAGCCCAGAGAGACGTAGGCCTAGGCATGCGCACCCAGTGGAATGACCAGTGGCTTTCGACCCACTATCTCTTTTCCCTCCGGCTTCCTTTCCTAACGGTCTAACCTGGAAGCCGGAAGGGATAGGGAAAAGAGACAAGGAGACATTCCGCAGAAACTGGGCAGGGGATGTTTTTTATTTATTTTATTTTATGGCCCATCCGACATGTGGCCCGTGGGCCATGTGAGTCATGGCTGTGTCGACATCATTAGGGCAAGAAATTGCAAAGCAGCAGTTTGACAAAGTTGCAGACCTCAAAGTTGCTTGGTGGGCCTGAATGTGGTTGTAGAACACCACAACGTGTCGTTATTTTGTGAGCGTGAGGGCAGACAAACATGCAATTTGAGGACACCTTGCCGTGCATAGTACGCGATACGTCTCAAAGTTTTCAGCACATGGGGGGTGTCAGTGCCATTCTGCAGTGCGGCGATTTGGAACGCCTTGGATCAAGGCAGGATCCAATGCTGGATCTCTGGAGGGCCCGGGAGGCCCGAGTTTGGAACACGCCCTCAAGCGAGCGACACGGGGAACACGCCCTGAAGCGTTTCTCAAAATAGGGGAAGACTTCAAGGCACCCTTGAAGCAGGAAGCATCACTTTCATTCTGTCAGCCGATCAGTCAGTTGCTGCCAGCCAGGCTTGGTTCTGGCACTGTTTTGACTTCGCATGTCTAAAGGCATCGGTGAAAGAAGTCGGGGTGTGCGCAGGTGAGACCTTGAACATTGTGGTGCGTGGTGAGGCCGGGAAGCGCCAGAGTCGGCTTGACGCAGAGAGGAATTCGCGACATGGCCTCATGTCCGGCATGTTAGTGAGATGCCTCCGCTTTCCTCCAACGTTTGTCTTAGTGTCAGTGATGTCCCACTCGATTCCGAGACATCGCATTTGCAATCAATCTCCCCTTTCTCCTCCATGGTTCCAATTTGCGTCTCAAAATAGGGGACCCCCAAAAATGCTTCGCTTAGGTTGTTCCAATTTGGGAAACTTTGGGGCCCCCAATTTTGGTGCCAATTTGCGTTTCCCTTTGGTCTCCCTTCAAACCCACCCCAAGAAGCAAAACAGAAAAACACAAATCAGCTTGAGGCCACCAGATTTCCCTCGCAGGCGCCGAACCTTCCGCCTCCGCCGCCAGCGCCGGGGACCCAGTTTGAAGCGGTGTTTGGAGGGCGAGATCCTTCCATTTGCTGAAATGAATATGTTTGATTTTCCCCTCTTGGTTTTGAAGGGGATCGATTTCACTACTGGACATCTGTTCTCATATTTTTTCCAGGGCCAGGGGGCGAAAACGCACATGGAAGAATACTCTCTCAGCATGTGGGCGTGTCCCTTTTTGATGGTACTCACTTTTGGGGGTTGAAAGGAAAACCAAGAGAAAAACCCCTCCATTTGGGGGTCCCACCAAAAAGGACACACCCAGCTCATAGAGTTTCTCTAACATGGGGACGCGCAAAAGCCTCCTTTTGGTTTGTATTTGAAGGAAGCCCAAAGGACGCCAACAAATTACAGGAAATCCCCATGTCGGGAAGCTCGCAAATAATTCAAATGAGGCCGAACTCGAAAATCCAAGATGTCATGGTAAGAGAATCACGGTGTATTGATCTAGCCCCTAAATATTACTCTCGATCCTCCATCACCGCAAGGGTCCCAGGCATGTTGGCGGTGCCGATGAACCCAAGATATCCGAACATGAAGAGCAAGTGCCATGAAGCATTGGTCCAAAGATAATGTGGATGGACGAAATCCTGCGCAACCTAAGAAACCCTGGAATGATGATTCCCCTGTTCTCAACCAATAAACAATGGTTTCCCATAGTTTCAAAGTGGTGCAGCATTTCGTCCATGCACAGTATGTGGGTAACGGCCTGTTCCAGTCAAGGAGAAGCAGCTCCAACTTGTCATTCTGCAACATGTTGGCAGGGGCTGTTTGCTCCAGGCGTGAACCGCTTTGCATCGGCTACTATCACGAGAGATTCGCCTGTTGCTTCGGCTCACGAGAGAGCCCAACACATGAGCAGCGATACCATGAGAGACCTGGGCTGCGCAAGAAGGAGTGCTGGTGAGAATTGCAGGTGTCGTGTGCCTGTTGCTGCTCAGGCCAGCTATTTGCTTGGATCTTTGGGATTTGAGTTTTGGGGCAACTGCGGATTTTCCATAGAGGACATTTTGTTTGCGGAGGGGAGTTGCAGCAACGAAGTCATGTAGCTAAAATGCGGGGCTCCCCGCACGAGCACTTGCAAACGAGGCCGGAGCATAGCAGCAGCAACTCGCAGGGTGCCAAGGTGGTAGGGCCGCGAGTCAAAGGGGTAAGGAGAGCAGGGGACAAGTCATTTCGTGATACGGGTGTGCCTTTGTTGGAGTTGGTACTCCTCTTTTTGGTGGGTTTTAAAGGGAAACATGGAAACCAAAAGGAACAGCAAATTTTCGGGAGGTCCCTGAAAAAAGCACACACACACACACACGCTCTCGCTCACGCTCACGCTGACGCTCACCCTCACCCTCACCCTCACCCTCACCCTCACCCTCACCCTCACACATACTTTGACACACTCACAGACACAGACACAGAAACAGACACGGACACGGACACGGACACGGACAACAGACACAGACACACACACAGGCACAGACACAGACACAGACACAGACACACACACAGACACAGACACACACACAGACACAGACACAGACACAGACACACAGACACAGACACAGACACAGACACAGACACAGACACAGACACAGACAGCACGCACCCACGCACCCACGCACCCACGCACCCACGCACCCACGCACGCACGCACGCACGCATACACGCACACACACGCGCACCCATATACGTATTTCGGGTGAGGCCAGCTTCGTTTTTGAACATCTTCCAACCTGTGGTTGAGGATCCTGCCTGAAGCTTCAGCCGTCAATGCTGCATCTTCGTTTTCCTGCCATGTCGTCATGTTGCATCTAGTGCGACTTCTGCTTTTGTGGCCTGCCAAGTTTTCCCTGAACCGGTCCTGATTCCCGTCAGGAGCCAGGCACAGCGGACGCCCTGGACATTTGCTGGACTGGTTCTGTGTAGCAGTGCTGACATATGATGCCGACAGCTCTGAATATTCATAGGGAACCACCTCAAAAGGCGGTGGGAATCCCCACCTGGGCCATACTCAAAACCCGGGTAGATGAAGGTTAAGGGAAAGTTCCAGCCAGAATGAGTTGCCGGCTTCTTCATTCTTTACATGGTAGGTGGACCACTCTAATGCAAGCGAGATGGCCACCCGATGGTCCTCCCATTCGATTTCACGCCCGTATCACGTCTTCAGCCTGAAACTCCCCGCTGGCGAGCTTGAGGTGCGCAACAGGCGCGACGAGGGGGCGCGTGGTGTGTTGTGGCGCGGTGCCGTCTTCACCTTAGTTGAAGGGACGCCTAACGGAACCCCGTGGTTCAAAAACGCCTAGTTTTTTTTTACATATCCAAATGGGGTTGCAAAGGATGTCAGTTGCATCATGGAGAGTGTTTTGCTCTGTTCATTTGGTGATTCATGGGAGGGCTGAGCGCAACAATTAGGCGTGCGTACGCAACCATATGTGCACACATTCGACTCCAAGAGTTGCACAAAGTCTGTTATGACGCGCCACGTGAGGAGGCCTTCCACAGATTTGTCCGGTCAACATCATGCAGGGCTGACTTTCAGATGAAGCGGGCCTTGTCACTGACACCTTAAGCGATGGTAAAGCAAACGAGGCGGCTTTCGAAATCGAGCAAAGCTTGGTCTCATATTTAATTGTTATGCTCGCTTGGCGGGTGTTCAAGTGGGAACAAAATCCATTGTTCACCTGTTCTTCTCCGGGTTGGTTCTTTTTGGTATTTTGTTGGTAATCTTTCAATATTCCCACGGGTGGATCCACAGATGCCACCTCCAAGCCGGTTTCGAGACTGCAATTGTTCCGCAGGCAGCACCGCTAGCGCCGGCACTGCGGTGAGTGCGCCCAGCGCCAGTGTCAGTGGACATTGGCAGCCGCAGGCTGGGTGAGTTCGGCGAGAGAGGGATGCAATCTTTGGTAGGACTTCTCGCAACAAGTGAAGTACCAGATTGAATGGTTTTTGGTTTCCTCTCAAACCAACCAAAGGGGTCCCCAGAACAAGACGCTGCCACGGGGTTGAAACGTCGCACCAATCATGGGGGCGGGGGTGTTTTTCTCGTGGAGTATGAAGTTAAGAGTTGGAGCCACCTCAACAGTGATGCCCACCAAAGGGTCCCTTGGTTCAAAAGCACAGCCATTTCTGCGTGAAACTAGGGGGCCCACCTGTGTCACATTTTGAGTCTATTTGGCAGCCTTCATTTAGGGTACTGGTTCGTTAGGCTTGGCTGCCTGATTTCTAGGTGTCCGTGGCACGGACCGGGGATCCCCCCCTCGCAAAAAAGACACGGGGGGAAACACAAGGCAGATTCCGCCGGAAAGAAAACATGCGGGAAAGAACACCCCTCCAAAAACATGGGGGGAAACACAAATTGCAGATTCCGCCGGACAAAAAAAACATGCGAGGAAAAGCACCCCTCCAAAAACAAAGATGTTGGTTTCCCTTTTAACCAACAAGAGCGCCTTCCCCGCGAGGCATGGCAAGGCTTCCAGGCAGGGACGGGACGTCCTTTCTCACGCAGAAAGTGCGAGTCCTTCCCTTTTCTTGGAGAGGGCTCGTTCTTTGCCCGACCTGGGTATAACATTTTCCCTTAGTCCCTGACCCTTTTTTTGGGCAAAGGCTTTTCTTGCCAAATGGGTCTGGGTCAACCTTAAACAAGCAGATCCACAAGGATATGGACCGCAGTTTTAGTCCTTGTTTCCATGGGGCAACCCATTCTGGAGTTACCCTATTTTTCACCCATACCCAAAGAACAAGGAGACTCCTCTTTTTGTTGGGTCTTTGCATTTGGTCTTTGCAAGTCGGTGTTATGTTATACAGCAACGTATTTACGCAGATCACTCACTCCAGTCTGTCACTCGAGGGGAAAAAAAAAAAACGGCAGTGACATGACAGCACCGCCGGGGTCCTTCCAAGGACACCGGTTTAGTTGATCCGCTTGCGCCGCGGGCTCTGGGCTTTGAAGTCCGGAGTCGATTGGCCTTGTCATTGTGTGGGTTCAAGGCAATGGCTCACATGTGGATTCCCCATCGCCAAAGACTTGGGCGATCAGATGCACTCGGCTGTAGGTTCCATGGGGGTTCATCCACGGCCAAGTTGCGGGTCCACTTGGTGATGATCCTGGAGAAGACAACAAGACTTTCTCGTGAGAGCCAGACTCAAAACCCGGGTAGCTGAATCCCAACCATAAATAGGTGCAGCCGCCTTGGGAACTCTTTACCGGCAAGTACCTTTTTCACGGATAGTTTGAGGGTCCAGCATTTGTTTTGCGTGATTTGACTCAAGGCTACCACGCTGTTGAAACGCTGCGCATGCCCACCCATTAGACATGGTTGATTGGGGCAGGAAAAAATTCGACCCCTGCAAAACTCTCCATTTGTGGCACGTAACCTATTTGTTTGTGCGGAAGCTTATTTCGACCCCTGCAAAACTCTCCAACCCACCCCAAGCCCTGCACAGGCAAACCTTGCCCCAGTGACTGCCTTAGAGGCGGAGGCGACCGGCTCGGTCGCCAGATGTTGCTGGCGTCAAATGGGAGAATGACACGGATTGAAATTTAATGTACGAGCGCACAGGCACAAGTATATGGTAATTGTGTAATATGCAGGGCAGGTACACATTGTATATATATATATATACACAAGTATGTGTACATATACATATATATATATATATAAAGGGTCAAACTTATTGCCCCATATGCTTTTGGAATGCAGCTTGCAGCTTGCGTCTCAAGGGAATCATCGAATCCGGAGCCATTCCCCACGAAGGCCAACATTCGAGACTTTTGGCCACATCCGAATGTCACGCTTCCAGGGTACTGGGCTTCCATTTGATGAATATTATGTTTGTTTCTCCAACCCTGCTTGTTTTACAGGGGATCTATGACTACTGGACATATGGGTTCTTTTATCCATGGGACTTATGCAAATGGATGTGGGTCAAAACCAAAATGGATCCCAGTGCAGCACCCATTTTAGAACCTATTTTAGTGGTTGCATTGGGATGTTCACTGGGGGTACGATTTGAATTTTGACCCACGGCCATTTATCAGGACCCCACTTGGCTGATGGTGGTCCTTAGCAAACGCCACCTTTCTATTTTCCAGGGTTGCATTTTGGATGCCTCATGTTTGAGCCACACCCACCTGACGGTTAAAGCCCCCATGGCCAAATGGATCCGGGTCTCAGCGGTCTCAGCCACCACACCCCTGGAAGTCCACCCGGATTCTGACACCGACACCTTCGTCGTCAGGCGGAGTCGCGGCGCCGCGCGGCGCAGATTTTGGCCCTCAGCCGCCAGGATGGGAAAGGGTCGCCTGGGCAGCGCCGATGGGCCTTCGAGATGGTTCTACCCATAAACCTTGTGGTATCTTCCATGTCCATTCTTTCCAGGGATCCTTCTTTCCAGAAAACCTCCAGAAACCCATGCAAAACGGCAGGTTTTTAAAAAGAACGATGATTGAAAAGAATGGGGAATCAACCTCTGGAATAAAGCGGGTTTATAGTCAGGCCCATAGAAGGTTTTATATCATGTTACGGTAGAGTAGTTAAAGGGATTGCCTCCAAACATGAATTGATGTGGATATGTGGCGTTGATATCAGGTTTGATTGTGATTCACTTGGGGTTGGTAGGGTGTTTGCTTTTTTTGGTTCTTTGGTATGCCTTGCTTGTTTTGTTGATTTGTCCGTTTTGTTTGATTTGTTTGCTGTTTTGTTTGGCTGGCTGGCTGTTTGTTTTATGTGAATTGATGGCCATATGGATGTCTTCCATATGCAAGTTTTGGGTCGTTGGTCTCAGTTGTGCAGTGGCGATTTTTACCTAAGCTGTCGATCAGGGAAGCTCCAATCCACAGTTCGGTAGATTCCCATATTTTGAGACAAGCCCATGCTAGGGAAAGCCACAACTGAATCGTCTGCATGATTGCGCTGGGTAAGCTTAAAAAAAAAAAATGTATATTTGTTGGTATGTATGTCCAATGTATGTAGGCATTGTTTGTTGTTTGCTTGCTTGCTTGCTTGTTTGTTTGTTTTGTGCGTCATTTGTATGTGTTCTGACGCTCTTCGCCTGCCACGCCAGCCTGCTAGGTTGCTTTCTCGTTTGCCTTGTGCCAACTTGTCGGGGGACCCTGGTGCCTTTCAAAGGGGATATTCAACAAGGCTCCTTATTTTGACAACAGCCCTGTTGGATTTTGGCTTGTTTTTCTGATCGTTCATTTGCGGGCGTTTAATGCTGATCCGTTTCCGAACAGTCCTTCTCACGATATGGCGGTGTTTGTTTTGAGGGGTTTGTATCAGAGCCGCGGCGGGCATTCGTCACAGACCTCGTTGCAGACCTCCGTAACAAGACCCGCTGGCTCGTTACACAACCCTCGTTAGATACCCCTTGGCTGGTTGCACGCCCCTTTTTGCCACGGCTTGGCTTGCGTTGAAGCCGCGATCGAGCTGGAGCTGCGGAGGCGTGCTTTGCGTACTGCGCTTTGCTTTGCTTCGTTACAGATCTTGTTACATAGCCGCTACATACCTCGTTACAGACCCAACCCCAGCCCGGGCCAGTAACCCCCCCTTTTTGCCACAGCTTGGCTTGGGTTGACTAGCTGCAATCGAGCTGGAGCTGCAAAAGCGCGATTTGCTTACTGCGCTTTCCTTTGCCTCGTTACAGACCTCGTTACATAGCCGCTACATACGTTGTTACAGACCTCAGCCCAGCCCGGGCCAACGACCCCTTTTTGCCACAGCTTGGCTTGCGTTGACTAGCTGCAATCAAGCTGGTGCTGGGGAGGTGCGCTTTGCGTACTGTGCTTTGGTTTTTTCGTTACAGACCTCATTGCGTAGCCGTTACATACCTCGTTACGACCCGGGCCAGTGACCCCCCGTTTTGCTACAGCATGGCTGCGTTGACTAGCAGCAATCAAGCTCTTTATATACCTTGTTACAGACCCAACCCCAACCCAAACCTGTGACTCCCTTTTTTGCCTCTGCTTGGCTTTCCTTGCGTAGCTGCAATCGCTGGAGCTGCGGAGGCGCGGTTTGCGTACTGTGCTTTGCTTTGCCTCGTTACAGACCTCGTTACGTAGCCGTTACATACCTCGTTACAAACCCAAGCCCAGCCCGGGCCAGCGAACCCCTTTTTGCTTTCGCTTGGCTTTTGGCCCTTTGGCAGTTGCAATTTTCTAACTGGAGCTGCGGAGGCGTGCTGAAGAGTTGCGACTGTCGAGCGGGAGTCATTGTTCTGCGCTACATTGTGCTACTGATGCTGACACTTGTCAACAATTTTTCCCCGTTACAGACCTGCGTGACAAGGACCTCCGTTACAGACCTCCGTGACAAGCTTCGTGGCGCGTCGCGCGTTACAGACCCTCAAAGAAATCATAGCCATATGGTTTCCTGAGGCTATGAGGCGAACCGTGGATTTGTGTGAAAACTAGAGAACCTTACAGAGTCATTGGTTAGAAATAGATGGCACTTGTTAGATGGGTTTCAGTCCATTTGTCAGGGAAACCCGTCTGTTTTGCCAAAAGGACACCTATGCAAAGAATGGTGGTTCTCGTGCAAGCCCCAAACGACTTTAGGCATGAACTCGTTCTCAGGGGGGGCAAGGAGAGTGACTGCAATACTTAGGGAAGGTAAAGCAGGCGAAAGGAATTTAAAGGAAGCTAAGGGAGGCTAAAGGAAGCTAAAGAAAGCCAAGGGAAGCTAAAGGAGGCTAAAGGAAGCTAAAGGAAACAATCTTTGGGGAAGATAAAGTAAGCTAAAGGAGGTTAAAGGAAGTTGTATAAAGGAAGCTAAAGGAAGCTAAAGGAAGTTAAAGGAAGCTAACGGTAGATACAGGAAGCTAAAGGAGGATAAAGGAAATTAAACGGTTTGCAGTAACTGCCCCCCTCAGAACGAGTCCATGATATGTAGGATGGGTGCGCTACAACAAGACAACAGCCAAAACAAGACAACAGCCGCCGTGGGCGCCAGGTGGAGGCGACACAAGCAGAGCTCACGCAGTTGCGGCAGCCCAAGCCAGCACAGGCCTGCGGCTGGAGACCGGCAGGGTTGGGCAACTCTTAACCAACCCCTGCTACCATGTAGGGGTGTCCTTCTTTGCCGGGAAGGGGGGGGAAGGGGAACTTGTTTTTCTTGGAGGGGGGGGGGTTAAAAGGAACGACCCGCCATTTTGGTGGAAACCAACAATGTGTGTTGTGATACGTCTAGCGAGTTGGCCGACCTGACAAGGGCCAGTGCCTTGGCCCTTCATGTAATGGCCAAGATGTTTGGTTGTTTTCTGCGTGTGAAGGTGGACGCCACTGGCAATGGGTGCACTTACAATGCCAATCGGCATCAGTCCGCCGCTTGTCTCCTTGTGTGCGACAAGGGGGGGGGACTGCGCTTTTGCACGGTCTCGATACGTCAAGCTGCAAACGCAGATTGATTTGGCAAACCCTCCAAAATGGGTGAGTTTTCCTCTTGGTTGCCCTTTAAACCCAACCAAAAAAGGGGTACCCCCGTGTGTGTTCCAACTGTTTGATTCAACAAACAGTCCCTAAGCCACCTAACCAACCCTTGTCCAACCTGAAACCCACCCTCAACCAGCACTAGCCAACCCTAAACCTTCCGTATACAAACCCTAAGCCAACCTAGTTAAACCAACGGCAGGCACAGCAAAAAGAAACCCAAGCCCCGAGCCCCCAAACCCACTCTAAACAATCCTTGAACTCACCCTGAACTCAGTGCCGGGGAGTGTTGAAAACGATGCAAGGGATGCTGACTGCGCAAATGCAAAACGACGCCATGTCACTAGCAAATACTGTGAATTACTTCATTTTGGCGCCCGCCGAACGGAACCAACACGGCCGGACCCAGGAAAGTCCGAGTAAAAAACAAAAAAACCTCAAACCGCCGGCGGTTTCGTTGGTTGCGTTCGGCTCGTTAATCGGCGCCGGGAGCGCGAGAGACCGCCAGACCCGGCAGCTGATGGGGGTGTGCCGCAAGGAGCTGCAGGGCCTCCAGGCCTTGGAGCAAACCCCGCCCGATGAACTGGGGGTAGGGGTCCCTCATGGGGTCCCTCACTTGGATCCAAATTCTCAAGCGGTTGGGGTTAGAGTTAATTTGCGGATGGGTGGTTTGGAGTGGTTCTGAACTGGGGGCTCAGCGAGCAGTGAATTTCTCGGACTGTCTAGGTGGGAAGTATTGGGAGCAACCTCACAGAGTTCAGCTTGGTTCGTGGGCTTCCAATCTGAAAAGGCAGATCGGCACGGGCTTTGGACCTCCAAAGGTGGAAGTTTAATTGCGAATCCACCACTTGATTGCCACGCCCAGTGACCCGGTTCAAACGGAAACCAACCGGAAATTGACCATTGTAGGGTATCCCAGTTGCCCAGTAGTGCCTTTTTATCATTTTTTTTGGAAGGGCTTCCCTTTAAAGTCAAGCAACCAAAAAATGGACGCCCTTTTTTTCCCCGTGGCCACTGGGCATCTGAGGAATATTGTGCATTTCGGTTTAGCCCGTTTACCCGTCGGTTCACCCAGGTGCCTTCAAGGATAGGCGCAAAAGTTGAAAGATCACCCAAAGACCAGCGCATTTTCAGGATCTCCTGCAAAGCAGGTGATTTTTTGCTTGTACCCTGTCAAACCCTGCAGGCAGGTGGTTCTACTGGCTGCAAATTCCGGCTGGCACTGGATTGGTGCAGCCAGTCAGATACCGTATGGGATAGAAAAGCCTACAGTGCGGTTCTCTCAGATGGACTAGATGGCCAATTTGATCGTTTCATTGAGACAACATAGCACCTGGAGGGTACCTGGAAGATGAGTTCCCGCTTGGGGGGTATACTGTGGGTGCCATAGCAACGCGGGAGTGAGGGTAGTAAAGCTTTGGTAACCCTTTGGAACCCTCTGATAGAAACAAGTGCTATGGGCGCGGCTCAGGTGGCCTGAGGTCAGTTTGAAAATCGATAGGTGTGGTTGAAACCGAACAAGTCTAGGGCCGGGGAGAAATAGATAGGAACCAAGCTGGTCTTGGGTGGGTTAGATTTTCATTCGCCAGCCTATCAGTAGCCTATCTATGTATGTTTCAAAAAATGGGACACCGGAGTTTGGAACCGCTGAGTTGTTTGTAGATCAGTCTCCTTTTGAAAGACCACAATTTCGGGTTCCTTGTGAATCATCATGGGAGCTCCAAAATCATCGCTTAGCATTTGATGCTGGGTGGAGTTGATTCTCATTGGCACGGGCAGAAAGATCCCGAGGTGCTTCTTGCCAGAAGGCCTGCAAGCAGCATAGGCTGCCTTGCTGAGCAATAAGTTGAGAGCTTGCAGACGTCATTACGCAGCGAAACACATGCACTTTGAAGGTACCAGGCAGTATTGTTGTTTGCGTCTCACAAATCGCCAGATTCTACGCTGCTCTACACCCTATTTTGGGAGGTGGCTCGGTTAAAGAAAGCCCACTTTCAGCGAGTTCTTAGATTGCATTCTGTGAATTTGTCAAATGGCACTCCCAAGGTTCTAGGGGTACCTTCCCCATTCTTTCCAGGCATCCTTCCTTCTACAAAACCACCCGAAACCCTGGGGAAACAGCTGTTTTTTGGAAAGGAACGATGGTTGAAAATAATGGGGAATCAACCCCTAGAAAGGTGCAGCTTTTTGAAGAGATCCCAAGAAGGGGTAGTTTTCATCATTCACTTCTAACCAGCCGAAGTTCGTTCAGGCGCGGCTGTCGCATGTGACACACATCGCCGCGCAGCTGGACTCCTGGTTTGTGGCGCCACGCGGCAGCAGAGTGTCTCTGTTTCTTGAGGGTACCCTCTTTCGCGTTGCTTTAAAGGGAACCAAAGAGAAACTAATAGTCTTTTTGTGGGCTACCCTATGTTGAGACAAACGTGCATGGTGCTTGACAGCTTTAGGTTGCAACTTTCTGTGATACCAGGTGCTCCCTTCAACGTGATTCTCGCAGTCGTGTGAACGATCCGTGGTATCACAAGGGGAAGTTCCTAGAGTTTGTTACAACTCTGAGACCCGTTGCATGTTGAGTTTTGAAACTGCGCAGAGTGCCAAACGATACCACTGGAGTATCTAACATGAGGTCCGAAAGGTGGGTCTCAACAATATGGTGCAGAGAGGTGCTGCTTTTTCAAGAGGATACTAAACAGCGCCCCTACTTTTGACAAGTCTTCGCTTGCTAACGTGTGAGTGTTGGACGTAGAGGGACGACAGAGCTATATGTGCGAATCCCAGAATGCGACATTGTACCAAGGTTGCAAACACACAGTGACTTGATCAATACCCATAAGCCAGGAGCATTTTAGGCAGTGACTCAACAAGGACTTGGCCAGGATTCAATGAACCACGGCAACTTTCGCCATGCTGCTGTAGTGAGAAATGCTTCTTGGAGATGCTTTCGATCGCAACTACGGCCACCTACCCATTGGAGCACTGTGCGAACAGTGGACGGTGCTTCGACCAGAATTGACACTTGTAGTTTGATTCTGGAGCCAGTTGATGCACGACCCCTGTGAGCAAAAGGTTGGCTGCGTTCGATCTGAGAATCGACCCCAGTGCATGCTGGCGCAGTTTGACATTAAACAGGGCTTTCAAGACCAACTACAATGTTTATAGAATGAATTCCCACTCGAAGTCTGACGCTTTTCCCCCTGCACTTCATTTGCTGCACCATGACTGGCGACTGCGAGCAACGCATTTTTCTTCACTGCCTGGTCAACTGCTAGCGTGTGGCTCCTGAAGTTCATGCTCACTTGTGCCCTGAATAGAGCTCGACCCATTGCTTGGGATTTGCATTGATGCATGTTTAACATGCATACATATTCACATGTATGTGATGGATGATGTATACAACTGTATATATGTATATGCGTACATGCATATTTGTGTTCAGAATGAAGTACCTAAAATCAACGTGACCTTGGGTTCCAGCCAGAGGCATCGCGAGCACCTCACCATCGAGGACACGAGCCAGACGCCCTCCGCGCAGCTTCAGCAGCGACTCAAGCTCGGGGCTCATCGCGGGAATGTGCCTGAAATAGGACACCCCACTTACATGATTGTTGGTGGGAATTATGGTGGTTTAGTGGGAAGTCCCCACTCAAATGCTAAAAAAGTAAACTTTTGCTCCCCTTCCAACGTCAACCAAACTGAAATGGCTGATTCACCTGGTTGTTTCCAAAGAGAAAAACGGCACCAAACAAATGCTCTCACAAAAGGGGACACCCAAATCTGGGATTTCTGGTGCCAGAGTCAAACTTCGGTGGTGATGTCTTGATGTTTGATGTCTTGCACGGAACCTGTGGCGAGGATCCACCCAACATCCCTGTTTCGGGATGTTGTTTTCCCTGAAAGCAACCCACCCTCAAAGGAAGACACATGTATATATATACATATATTATATATGAATATATATATATGTATATATATATATGTGTGTATATACACACATGGGTGTGTCTTTTTACCCCTGTTTTGATGGTGTTCCAAGGCCTCATTTGAACTTTCATGCTTACAGCAATGCCGAGTTGTTCGTCGAAACCGTCGAGTTTCCCAACGCCCACTTTGTGTGATACCCTTTTTTCAGAGAACAACGCAGGATTCTACTTACAGAAAAGGCGATCCGTTGTGGTCAAGAGGATGGCACTTGGGTGTGGCTCAGAATTCAAAAGGAGGGGTTCCGCAGGTTTTGGTCCAGGTTTCCACTTGCCAGGGTTCCATGCCGGTACCGGTTTTTTGGGCCGCAGCCCACTTGTGGTACTTCGAATGGGGTGAGTTTCCACGTTAGGTGCTGCGAAGGCATTGTGGAGGGCTTTCAGCTGACCTCTGAGCGGATGGAAGGTGCCGCCCCATCCGTCTGGGTTGCCCCGCACGAGTCCGAAGGAAGGGAAGCCCAGCGATCGCTGCCCTTTCTCCCCCGTTTCTTTGGTGGGGGAGGGTGCCCCTACTGAAATACACGACATAAAAAAGGGGTACCCTTCTTCAGGGCTCCTGAAAAGATACATTTCGCCCATTTGAAACATGTTTTTTTCGACCAACATACAGGGACACCACCATTTACAAGGCAATGTTCAGGTGTATGATGTAAGGATCCCTGTTTTTCTAACCTCTCAGGACCCACAGTAGACCCTGTGGATGAACACAATCCTGCAGTGGGCGGTTTGTCAACTAGTATTTATAGGGGTTAATCCATCGCTCTCCACACTACGTCCCCATTTGGGCATAGCGGCATAATCCACGGAGACTCCTTTTTGTTGTCTCTGCCGCTTTGTAGGAAGGAGCAACGAAACCCATGCTGGGCAGAAAGATGTGAACGCTGTCCTATCCTTCAGCCACTTGAATTGGTCGCTGTAGGGAGTTTCTTTCAGCGAGTCAAGCTCCTAGGAGTCCCTGCAAGGAGCATTTACGCTTCCGATGGGAGCAAGGTGCACTTGCCTTCCACTTCCACTTTGGACCTATGGAGTGAAACCCCATGCCGGCGGACCGTTTTTTTTCCACCGGAGTCTGGTTTTTTGTTGGATCGCATGCTGGCACGACAGGTGATAAACTCCTCCACTTGATTTAGACCTTCAGAAGAAAACAAACACATCTTGTTCTAAAAAAACCAAACAAAAAGCTGATCATCCCCTGAATTCCAACTTGCTGCCAGGCATCCTGCTCCAGGACGGGCACTTGCGGGAGTCCACTGTGCGTGATTTGTTTTGTTGAGGGCACCTCTGCATCCCTAACAAAAAGACGTGCCCTTGCACGGATTCCAGGCAAGCTACCCTGTGCCATACATGGCCCAACAATGCAAAGAAATGGACACCCCCCCCAAGCACAAAAAGGACAACTTGTACATCCCCTACACAAAAATTGGTGCTGCACCACGGTTGCTTTTTTTGGGTTTTGGCCACTGGGCCTGCCTTGAGCGTGGGAATTCACTGGAACTTAACGTAGGGCTCGGTGTGACTTTTCAGGCGAAGGGTGCCTTTCAGATTTGGTCAACCGCATTTGTTGAGCCACAAGGGGTCCAAATCCCTATGTTGACACACCATGTAAATGAATGTCCCGTTCATGTTCCCCAAACTTCGGGGCCCTTTGAGCCTTACATGTCAAACGGATCCAAGTTGGCAGCCAAGTCCTTTCATTGATCTGGCCGGTTGTTGTTTGATTTTTGAGGTTGCTTGCTTGTTTGTTAGCTGCTTCTCTTTTTTTTTTTTTGGGGGGGGGGGGGCGGTGGGGTCCCTGCTTCAGGAGGCGCCGAAGGCAGGACGCCCAGCCAAGCTTTGGGGTTGCCTTCAAATGGTTTGTTCTCCTTTCGGTTTCCCTTCAAATCCACCAAACAAAAAGATGCGTCCATTTGTGGGATGCTGTTTGATGTATTAGGTGCTTGGTTCTGTTCATTGTTGGTGGAGGCTACAACAAAAACTATAGTTGCTCGCATTGCGAAGGATTGGACAGCAGTGTCTTGGTTACTCTTTGATACAAACTTCCACAAGCTTTGGCTCTTCGGAAAATGACATAGAAAAAGGATCCTCAAACCGCAAGGCTTTTGCTTGGCTTCCCCCCAGCCCTACAAAGGGCAGCACCCAACCCCCCCACCAACCAGCGAGGCATGTTGCTCCTTTTTCGTGTGGGTCAAAGCCAGGGTTTGGATGGTATGGAGGTCATGTGATTCCAATTGGATCAGACAATGGGCCAGCATCCTTCTTGCAATCAAGTCATTTACCCTCAGACTCGCTAGTTGGGTGGCTCAAAATCAAAGGCAAGCTTTGGTCTTTGGTTCCACACACCAAGTACCATTCTTGCAACTGTACCCTGAGCCACAGCCAGTTTTGGCTTAGGATCTTCCGATGTAGGGTATCAGCTTTCAGACGGTTTTCCTATTTCCCCAGAAGAACCAGGGGTTCAAATCCAAATCCAAAGCACCCCAAACCGCCAATTAGGGGTTGCCTGAAGGGGTCTTGAAGCCTCAGGTTCGTGCTGGCCCCACCCCACAGGGCGCCAGGCGCGCCGGCTGAGAAGCGCGCGGGGATTTTTGGGCTCTCAAGACCGTCTGAATTCTGCGCTCCCAGAGCTGAATTTTCGGCACCTTTTTGTCATGGAACTGAAGTTTGAGGGTTCGCTTTAAAGGAAAAAATGGTCTTCCAGGTCCCCGCTGCGATGTTCCGCGTTAATTGGTGGGAGGGTAGTCAAAACTTGGAGAGTCAGAAGATCTGCAAATTTGTTCTGTGGGCCAAGATGAGGTTAGCCTCACCCCAATTCCAAGGTGAGCTTGTTGTCGCTGGGAAGAGGGGAGGACAAGGAAGCCAACTCAGTTGCTCAAAGCTGACGTTTTGATTTGTTGGCAACCATAGGTCGCAAAAGGTGATCACCTTTGAATTCCTGGTCTCATCCGGGGCAAGTGAGCCGACATTTTTCGGGGTCCCTCACTCCCTGAGTTCATGGACGTTATTATTTTTGGGGTTTGGACCATTTTGGTAATAAACCACAAGTTTGGTTATTTGTTTGGGCCAGTTCACTCGATCGGAAGTGAGTGAACGTTTGGAAACCCAGCCCCAGGACAAAAGAAGACAAGGTCCCAGCCTCTACCTACTGGGCTGGTTCGCCCATTTTAGTGGAACACTACCCACCGGCCCAGTCTCGGTTCTCCCATTTTACTTCCCCAGACTGAGTTCCCCTTTTCATTTTTCCTTTTGTTGGGTTTTTTGGTTTTCCGCTAACCAGGCAGAAAACAAATGTTGTCCTAGTTCCGGCCAAGTTGAGTAGTCTCTGACGGACGATCTTTTTTGGAGAATTCGCCTCTACCCACTCGCAGGCCCGGGGGTGCCGGCGCCAGGGCCTCGGCCATTCGGACGACAGCTCCAGTTCCAAGGGCTCGATGGGTGGGTTTTTGCAATTTCGGGAAGCCGAAAGGAAGGTGGGGGGGTCCCAAGTTGTCCTAGAGCTTCTTCGTGTTTTTGTTCAGGGATTCTTGTTTTCAGGAAGTCCTCCTTTGGTTGGCAGAAAGGAAAGTGTAGGATTGCTGAGGTGTTTCCCTTTTTGGAATGTAAGCTGGCGATCGTTTCAATGGAAACCACCAGCAAACTGATCAACTTGTGATTTGGGGACATAGTGACCCTTGTCTCACAGGAGAAGCCTCTAAACAGGTGCCGTCCTTTGGTTCCCTAAACCGTACCCTCCAAAAAAGACGAGCCACCCAAATGCGATCGAAAGGTGAGAACATGATTTCTCCAGAAAATGAACAGACAGCGCCAAAGCGCCTTATGAGTCACCTTATCCAGACCTCAGTTGCCCAAAGCGAATCAACCTTTGCACAGTGGTTGATCCATATTGAGTCATGGCCCCAAAAGGTGATATACATATGTGTATATATATATATACATGTAGTTTTTTCCTGGGTCCCATCCGGGGCAAGTGAAAGAAGGGTCCTTCCCGCGTGTTGATCTCGTCTCAGGTGCCTGGGCTGTGGGTGAGAGATCCAGACACGCCAAAGACGAGCTGCGTTTGAGGTGCGGTTTCAACAGAAAAAGGCGCTGCGCGATCGAGCCGACTCGTCCATGTTCTCACGAGACGTAGCGACGTACAGCGCTGGGTTAGGGGACGTAGGGGGTTTGAGGATCGAGTCGTTTGGCCACGCTGGACGAAAGACAACGGAACTGGCCTGAATTCTCGCGTGCTCTCTTCATCGCAAAAAGCGGTGCCTGCCAGTACCAATGTGAGCCAATGCGCTTTTGTCTGAGCAAACGCCCCTGTTATGTTTGCTCTGCTCATTTGCTCTTGGAGCGGCATACGAGGCGGACTGACCGACGCCAGTGGCCCCGAAAAGTGACAGAGGCCTGTGGAACCAAGCCTCTTGCGGACACGAAGGGTGCACGTCGCATCCGCTGTGCCAGACGCGCGCCTCGGGGCACAATACCCGCAAGGCAGATGCCAGGAAGTGCTGCTTGCGCTGTGTGCTCCAAAACCATGAGGCGTGAAACATGTTTGAAACCTTCTGCCTGCAGCGGGATAGAGACTTTGCACCAACAGAACAGGCTGACCGACCCAATCAGCGTAAGTTCTTCTCGATCCCAGACTCTTCCATGATATTGCTAAAGGCGAACGAAGTTGTCAGCTTGTCGTGATTGAAAATAAAGGCAGCCCTGGCGTGGCTGTTTGTCCGCGCTGCGCCACCACTGCCTCTTGCCAATCAAGTTGCTGCGTGCTGCCTGCTGGGCTGTGTTGCCGACCCAAATGGCAGCCACCGCCCCACATGGCAGCCATTTGTCGCTCGAGTGCCGCGCATTTAGTTCAGTGAACACTACGCTAGAGAGTGCGCAGAAAGCAGTGCCTGCTGTCGCCGTTTTGAGGAGAGGTTGCACGCTCTCCATGCATGGTTCAGCCCAAGTCATTCACTGTAGCTTTCATCACGTCGCATCGTACCTTTGCTTTGCTGTACCAAACAGTACTCACACACACACACGCAATCACAAACACAACCACACACAAAATCACAAACACAAACACAAACCCACAAGCACAAACACGAGCACAAACGTAGAGAGACACGCCAACAGTATCACACAAACACAACCACGCACCCACCAACACACACACACACACACAAGCGCAAAACACAAATACAAAGACAAACCCAGACAACTTTCACAAACACAACCACCCACACACACACAAAAACAAACAAAACACAACCCACGCGCACACACACACACACACACACACACACACACACACACACACACACACACACACACACACACACACACACACACACACACACACACACGTGAGCACAAACACAAACACGGGCGCAACCACGAAGAAACACAAACACGCAACCACCCACACAGACAAACACAGACAAACACAGACAAACACAGACAGACAGACAGACAGACAGACAGACAGACAGACACAGAGACACAGAGACACAGAGACACAGAGACACAGAGACACAGAGACAGAGACACAGAGACACAGAGACACAGAGACACAGGACACAGACACACAGACACACAGACACACAGACACACAGACACACAGACACACAGACACACAGACACACAGACACACAGACACACACACAGACACACAGACACACAGACACAGACACACAGACACACACACAAACACAATTACAAAAGCAAACGCAAACCCACAAACACACACAAACAGACACACAGACACACAGACACACAGACACACAGACACACAGACTCACAGACTCACAGACTCACAGACTGACAGACACACGGACACACACACACACAAACACAATTACAAAAGCAAACGCAAACCCACACACACACACAAACACAAACACAATTACAAAAGCAAACGCGAACCCACAAACACACACAAACAACAGACACACAGACACACAGACACACAGACACACAGACACACAGACACGCAGACACACAGCCACACAGACACACAGACGCACAGACACACAGACTCACAGACACACAGACACACAGACACACAGATACACACTCACACAAAGCGCACACACACACAAACACAAACACAACCACGAACAGACACGCAAAGAACACAACCACCCATGCAACCACCTATACACAGAAGCACAATGCAAGCGCACAAAACCGCCCCCACACAAGCACACACCACCCCCACACACACACACACACACACACACACACACCACACACACACACACACACACACACACACACACACACACACACACACACACACAC